GAGGAGGAGGAGGGAGATGAGGGGGAGGGGGAGGAAGAGGAGAAAAGGAAGGAAGGAAAGAGAAATTATATAAAAGCCAGTTGAGAAAGGGCTTCTGGCTGATATGCTACAGAGTTACCACCTGGTGGCAGCAGAGGTCAATAAGACCCCTGCAGGCACCCTTAGCCTCAGGGATGAGAACTCTTAGGACCTATGAGACTTCTCTTCTTGTTTCCTGGGTCTCACCTTGTTGTAGACTAAGGAGGACCTTACCCAGGGACCCGGTCTCAGGTCTGCTATGGGCAACCTGCACAACCGTGCCAAGCTTCTGCCCCCAGTGGGCCTTTTTCCTCATTTGTAAACTGGCCCTCCTGGGCTCCCTCCATCCCCTCCAGGGCTTCCTCGGGGGTTGTAAACATACTCATTGGAGGAAGGGGGTCCCTTGGGTTGTTTGCATATTTTTGGTGGGTTCCATCTGATGGTAGATGGAAAACCCATTTTGCCATTGCAGGGCCAAAATAAAACAATCCAAGCAAAGGGCAGGCAGTTCTGAATGTGGACTGACTTCCCATTGTCGGCCTTGAGCGTAGAGGAAGAAGCTCCTGGCTCTGGGTGTATCTGGGTGCTGCCCTGAGGGTGGTCTTCTCTAGTCCTGAGACAGAGTCTTCTCCCTGCTGGGTCTTCTGCAGAAGCATCTTCATTCCCATCTGGTCTTCTGCTACCTGGTGTGTGTGCCATATCAACCACTAGAAGGTGGACCCTGGCCTTCCAATGCTCCATGTCACATCCACACCCCTCTCTGTCCTACGGGGAACCTTGGCTTTTCCACTGGGATGACTAAGTGGGTCACTTAGGTCCCTCTTTGTGATAGGTAGGTTTATTGTGCCAACCCGGCCAATAGAAAGATGTGGGATTAATCAGACCGAAGTTTGATTGGAGGGCAAAGAGATAAATGGCTCGGTAAGGCGTGTCCCTCACTCTCCTGCTCTCTGGTGATTGGACCAGCATGTGGCTGCTTTAGCTAGTTCTCTCCCTCAACTTGTGAGCGATATGCCCTGTGGGACAGCCAACCCGTGAATCGTGTCACTAGAGCTTGAGGTTCCTTCGAGACCTGCTTCGCCACACGGCTCTTGTATACATTGCCTGAACTTGAGGCTGGTGGATACTGTCATCTTGCAATATCTCATCTGGGTCTGCTTCACTAAGCTCCTGAGCTGCTGCTGACTGTTGGTGACCCACCTGCTGTTTGCTGCCTGTGGGCGGACTCTGCCTGCATTGCCCAAGGGAAGACTCAGCTGTCTGCTTCCTTGCCTTGGACCAAGCTGCCCTTGTGAGTTGAAGGACTTCCGGTATATTAACTGTTCCCTGAAAGTGAGTTGAAATGAGCCTTCTGTACTGCTGTGTGGCCTAATTAGCTGTTATATTCCTTGGTGCTGATAAATCTATTCATGTACAGTGAACCCTTGCCACTTCGCGCTTCAACTTCCGCGGCTTCACTCTATAGCGGTTTTTGCGTAACAGCGCATGCTCTGTCATACCATCGCGACCTGTCTGAAAAACATCCAGGCCACTTTAAAAGACATGAAGGTAGAGACGACAAAGGCCAGCTGGAAGAAGTTGTGGCCTGGAATTGTCCAGGAATCTGAAGAATTCACCCTAGAAGAAGTCAGAAACTCGGCGGTGGATAACACAGTGAGACTAGCCCAGATGCTGGAAGGAGAAGGTTTCAGGGATATGAACCGCAATGGCGTATTTGAGGTGCTGGAGTCTTCAGATCATTTAAATGATGAGAATTTGGTGGAACTAGCTAAGTCTGAAAGTGAGGAGGAGACGGAAGAGCAGTCAGAGGTTCCTGAGGATCATGAGGAGTTAGTTGGCCTCACAGTGGAGCATCTCTCGCATATCGTAAGAACAATCAAAGAAGTTCAGGACACGATTGAAGAATGGGATCCAGAAATGAATCGTGCATTACGGTTCCGGAATGCACTCGATGGGGCAATGGAACCCTACAAAAACCTTTTCACTGAAATGAAGAGACAACGTCGGCAATTGCCAATCACAATGTTTCTTAAACATGTACCCAGAAACCCACTGCCTACAGCCGCTCCTTCAGAGGAAAAAGACAGCGACCCACCTGTAGAGTACATCCCTTAAGTTATTTCATAGGCTATTGATTACAGTATTTGTAAGAACTATGTATAATAATACTATATGTGAAATATGTAATACTGTAAACTAGATGCCATAAATAATATAATAAATAATAAATGATAATTGTAACGTCCAAAATGTTTTACTGTATTTTCCCTTTTTCGTTTAATAAATTGGGTAATACGAGTGTAATGGTGACTAAAGGGTGTTTTTTCATGTCCTCTATGCTCTAACTACGAAAATATTTGATTTACAAATAAGGAATCCTACTTCGCGGAATTTCATTTATCACGGTAGGGTCTAGAACCGATTAACCGCGATAAACGAGGGTTCACTGTATATACATAGTATTCGTAAGTGTCCTGGCTTTGTTCCTCTGGAGAACCCTGCCTAACTCACTCTTCCAAAGGCTTTCTGGTTGTCCTCCCTGCTCCACCCCTTGAGTTGGACACCAAGAGATCGTCATTCCTGAGGCACAAGATCGAGCATGAGGCCTGGGTGCCATCCATTCAGAAATCTTCAACCTGCTATGGGCGTTCTGTCACCACCCCCACTCCCTCCCCAGGCTCAGGTGGGGGCTGGGCAGGGCTCCTTCTCCAGGGGGCTCACTCACCAGCACCCCATGGTCAGAGCTTTTGTCTTGGATCCTCGTAATCCGGGGGGCTACTTTTGGGACTCCAAAAGCCAAGCATTGACCTTGAAAATATGATAAATAACAATGAAAATGCTAACTTCTCAGTTAACAAATAGGAGGGACAATAGGATTCTCTCAACAGAGTCAGAAAACATTATCTGACCCAACGCCACAGGATTTCATGTGGTCACTGGGGCTGATTCCTCAAGCCCCCATGCCCAATAGAACACACAGTGCCATCCTGCACTGCCCTCACCATGTTGCTGTGCCAGAGCCCATTGCCGCAGCCATGGCACCTGACTGTCTGCCTCTGCAGAGCTGGAGTGCAGGCTGGGGGTCGGATGGAGTTTGCAGAGAAGCCCAGGGAAGCTGCCTAGCTAGGCTCGTGATTCATCCATGGCACTGAACTGCCCAGCTCATTTCTCTGACCTTGGTGGGATGCTGCCTCGTGGTGCCCTGAATTGCTCATCTTACCTCCCTCAGAAGTGGAGACTGGGTCTGGTGACAGCAACGTCAGACAGGCTTATCTGATCACCCCCAGGTAGTGGGTGAGGGCTGTTCGGACATCAGACTCTATGACCCTGCCCTTCATCCCGCAGTCATCTGCTCATCAAATAGTCTGGGAGGCAAAGCCAGGTGGTCACGGGCCGTCTGCCCCCTCCTGCGTGGCCAGGGCTGCCTCGGGGCCTGTGAGGCTCTTGTTGGCAAGGACCCTCTTCTGAGCCCCTGTAGTAGGTTCTGTTGAGGTCAGATGCCATCAGGTTGGTTCTGAACCCTAGCAACCCTGCATTGCAGGGGAGGAAACACTGCCCGGTCCTCTGCCACCGTGCAGTTGTCCTGTGTGAGATCTGGTTACAGTTGCCATGTTAATCCATCTTGAAGGTCTTCCTCTTTTTCACGGACTCTCCACTGCACCAAGCACGCCCATCTTTCCCAGGACTGGTGTCTCTGGATAACATGCCCAACGCACGCGAGCACATGCTAAGGCGCATCTGGCTGTTCGTCTTCCGAGGAGACGGGGCGCTGGCTCTTCCGGCAGTCCACCGTTCCTCGACTATCCTTCTCCAGCTCCAAAGATCAAGTACATCCGTTCTTCTCCTGCCTTCCTCTCCTCTGTCTAACTTCCACAGGCTTAGGAAGTGGCTGGAAATACCACGGCTCCACTGGGATACGCTCCAGTCCTCAGCGTGGCACGGGGTCCCGTCTCTTCTCCAGGAGGTACACCCCTGACCTAGACACCCCTTTGCACTTTCCTCCTTGTGTCTCAAAGGCTCCCAACCCTTCAGACAGTGTTTATGGAGCACTGCCCCGTGCCAGGTGCACAGACACTCAGGATGTGGAAGCTGTCCGCCGTCAGGGGGCAGGCGTTTGGCCAGAGGGGGCAGGGGGAGCAGACAACAGACATGAAAGGAGTCATCGAAGGTGGGGTGTGTTGTGAAGAAGAAGCCAGGAGTCGTCGGGGTGGGGGCGGGAGGCAGGCTGCAGGGTTAAGGTGACTGGCAGCAGCCACACTCTGCCACCCAGACTACCCTCAGGGTGTACCCCTCACTTGACTCAGGGTCTGGCACGTGTGGGAATTGATGACCCATTGCCAGGCTGTCTTGACACAAGGGCTCTGCTCCCCGACACTCCTGGTCCAGCTTGAGCGCGCCTCTCTCTTCACTTTGAACATGACTGCTTGTTGGGTCATCCAAGCTCCCACCTTCTGGACGCTCCCAGGGGCTGCCTGCTCCCAGGGCAGGTGCAAGGTTGGTGTGGGTGAGCTGCTCACAGCAACAGCCTCGGGGGAACCTTGCAAAGCAAAGCAGCCCCACCGTGGAAGCATGGACCCCACCTCCTGGCATGCCACCCTGCGCTTCACAGGGCTTTCTTGTTTGGGTCACCCAGAACCCCGCATCCCGCGCACGCCCCAGAACTGTAGCCCCTACAGTCTCTGCCTGCCCGTGCCTGTGGAGGACAGGGAGTCTGTCTATCATGTCCCCATTATTGGACGGCTTCTTCTCAGCGACAGGGTCAGTGGCTTTCTTAGTGTTGAGCGGGAAGAAAGGAAAGAGGAACTAGAGACCAGCTGGCTTTTCCCACCTGTTTATTTGTTCTCCAGATACAAAGCTACCACTTCAAACAATCATCCTAACCCGTCTCCATGTGGGATAACCGCCTTTTATTGCCCAGTGGTAGCAACTTAACAAGGTGGCATTTTTACATTCAATAAATAGAATAAATAGGAATCTGGTCTTCACACGTTCTTGTTCCTGCTCCGCTCATTTTCCTTCTGGAACGTTTCCCGGAGGCGTGTCAGAAACGTCAGCACGTTGCCGTCTGTGGTCTGGTTGCACGGCTGTCCACAGGAGAAGGCCTGTGGGATTCAAGTGGACGAGGACCGTGACGAGAACCACACGCCGCCCAGCAGCTCCCGGAGCCACGCTGGCCAGAGAGCCCCAGGGGTGGGAGGTGTCGGCAGGTAGCGGGGTGGGCAGGCAGGGGGGTTGAGACGTAGAGTAAATGCAAAAGGGAGATCAGGGATAGCATTTTGTGTTGTCGGAAAGCTGGTTGACTTTGGGTGTCTGCTCACACCACACACACACACACACACACACACACTAAATCTCTGCATCAGAAGAGACCTTTCCTTAGAAGC